CATCTCAGTCAGGGCAGTCTTACTTTGTGCTTTGCGGTCTCTTTGCAACCAGAGACACACGCTGCAGTTTTGAACAGGCCATCGCCTACAGTGTTAATACTACAGCATTTTTAAGGACTAAATGTCATTATAGAGAGCTTCAAAGGAATATCTACAAGTCCATCCTGCATTTTGCTAATTCTTAGAAAACCATATATTCATCCGTCTGGTAGGCAAGTTTAAGGTCACACTTTGGAAGATGAAACTATCATAAGCTGAATTAAATGTTTGAAAATGCAGTTCCTTCTCTGTGCTCTCTCATCTCTTCAGGGTTAGAGCACAAAAGCTGCCTGAGGAGGCAAATCTACTTCACATAGGAGGGAACGGAAAGAAAATAATCTTTAAAGTACAAACATCAAACTTTGAAAGTTATGACTACAAAACCAACAATGCTGTTGTAGTAACTATGATCACTGCTGATTTTAAACTAAATTATAAATTCCATTTGCAGTTCAGAATACCCCTTATCATTAGGCACAAGGTGTTTATTTTGATTTCTAAGCGTTTGGAAAAGCAGAGGGCATTTATTTCTTCTGGAGAAAGGCTACTTATCCAAAAGAGCAAGAAAATTGCACTTGGAGTCTTCCTGAATACTAGCTGAACAAGTCGGCACAGCAACAACAACAACAAAATCTGTGTTCTTCCTTTATCACAGGTCAATTATCACATAGCACATGGGGAGCTGCCAAAAAACACTGCTATGTTCAGACACTAAAACTTGCGTTTTATTTGCCTGCAGCTGCATTGCACAATGAAGGGACTGTTAAAACCCCCTCCCCAAGAAAAAATATGCAGGCCAAAGCAAGGGGTGATTGATTCACTGCCTTTTTTATTTTCCTCTTTCAGGGTAATTGTTACTTATCTTTTGTCCCAAAAGCTATTTCTCTAAAATGTTTTGATTGCAAAGTATTGATTTTTTTCCCCTCTATTCCTTTTCATGCTGATCTACCAACACAGACAGGCAGATGTGGCAAGGAAAATAATGAATTGCAATTTAATGTTTCTCAGGTTCAGATTTCAAACTTGCCCAGCATGGTCCCTATTTTATTTTCTGACATTCTCCCCTCACCTGGAGTTCTAACAACTAAAATGTGATTTTCCGCAAGATTTATTTTCAATGAACCGAGAAATAAAATCCTGAAGCTCTGTAAAACAAAGTTTTTGCATCAAATTTTCAGACATAAAGTTAAACCCATTTCTGTACTCTCCAAATTTCTAGCATTTGTCCTATTCTATTGTCTCAAATAAAGGTGCTACCAAGTAGCATCACTGTAGGAGCTTAGAACTGGATAGATTCCAGAATTTTAAATGTAAAGCATCTAGTTTCCTCAGTTACCTAGAAAATGTATTTTGGTGCCCACTGGGTATCAGTAGTCATGCCAATTGTCATGTTACTTTTTTCAGATATTTGTTGCTCATAATCTTCTTCTGTGTCTTTTATTTGATCTCTGATCAGCCAGTAAACTTTCATTACTTTCTTCATCTGAATTTTAGAATGACCAGAAAGTATAGTTTCTAGTTCACACCTTTAATCAATACAACGATATTAATAGTTCATAAAACAAACTATGCAGTGGCCTGCATCAATGAATCCAAACAGAGAACCAATGGTAAAGGGTGCATTTTAAATAATTTTTATTTCAGTCATGGAAATTGCAATGATTTAGTACTAGCACAGCAAACACTTCCTTGTCAGTGTCATCATAATAGGTGATTATATGTCTAAAACAGTCACAGAAAATAAATGGAAAAAAAATTATGAACTGAAGTTCAAATATCCATCATAGCCACGTATTATTTGGCTACGGCTACATTACTAGTAGAGGCAATTTCTATAAATTTCAAAAGAAAGGCAATGAGTTTTCCTAAGTGGGTAAATTAAGCAAGTTAAAGATATTTCTATAAATTTTCTTTTAAACATCTTTATGAATGTAGCTTTTGTTACAAGTTTTCTATTCACCTAGCATTAGAACAGAAAAAAGTGTTCAAAATTTAGGTCATTAGAGTATCTTCTTCAAAAATACCCTAAAATCTGAGTATATACTGAGGGAATAGTACTGGTAAAACTGACTGGCAGCTACTAATCCAATTCTTGATTTGCTTAACTGCCTTCAACACGCCAACACCTATACCCAATCCCTCCTTCTAACTTCAAACAGCAGTTATATGCTGCTGCTGCTTCCTAATATCTACAGAAAAATATTTCTTAACAATACACAAGAGGAAAAGCTTTCTTCATACTATGCATCTTTTATAGTCTTTCATTGTATTCAATATGGCTGAAATCATATTGATAAAAGAAGCAGTTAATATCCAATAATTAAGCCAGTAAAAATCTCAACTACTACCTATGACCTCTGAAGACACTTTAAACTGTACCATCCAAACCTTCAATTAGAATATACAGAACAAAATCTGATATGGTTGAACATAACAGTTTATAATCAGAGGGAAAAATAAAAAGACTTTTGTGCATGAAGGAACAAGTTTCGAGCCTGCACTTTTTTCTTTAATGACAATAAAAATCTGAACTGTGCTGGAAGGTCTGAGACAGCACTTTGATAAAGCAGAAAACAGGCTGTGCACTTTAATAAGAAGAGGCACTCTAGAAATGCAAAAAAGAAGAAAAAACAAATCACAGTTTATAAGCTTTAAGAGGAAAACATTTAATGAGAGAAGCTTCTAAAGTTCCAGGCAGAGGGCAAAAATAGATATCTGTACAGACAAAAAAGGACAGGCACTTATACCACATGAGACTTTACAATAACCTGTAGCACCTGAAACAGATTTTATGCAGTTTTTTTTTAATGCAGTTCTCCTAACTTCCACATATAGAGAAAATTAGACCTGTCCTTTCTGGTATTTCTCAAGCTCTGGTTTTCTGTGGAAAAATGCTAATGAGAACAAGAAAATGCCAAGCCCAACCCCTAGAAAATCCCAAATCTAGTCTTCGATTCCACGTCTGGAGAAACAATTAAAAAACTCAAAGACATCAATCCTAAAACCTTAAAGGACTCAATTTTTTGCTCATTTACCTTCGGCTATATAAAAAATAGGAAGAAATTCCATATTGCACCACAAATCTCAGATCAAAGTACTGTCAGATCAATTTTCCATAAAAACACTCTTAAGTTTGCTACTTACAGAAACTCAATAATCTTTGCATTTAAAAATCTCATAATTTAACTGTTTAAGTTAGGAAATTGTTCCAACAACATTCAAGGCTGAAGCAAATTCAAATCTCTGCATGTGATTCTAGTTAGCAGCAGGACATTGATATTTTTCTATAGATAGCTTATTTTATTTTCTTTTGTTTAAGAAAATCAGAGACAGGTTTATGAACCAACTCAGATTACAGTTTATTATGACAGTGGTATCCTCTGTTGAGCTATCTAGGAGAATAAGACCTCAAAATCTTTACATCTGAAATCCTGGGACCTTGCTTTCCAATCTGAACAGATCACTACTTTTACTTGAAAGCAGGAGCAAATAAACCTCAAAAAACAGGCTAACCACATGAAGAGACAAGATGAAACTGTCTTAATATGGATTAAAGTGGTCTTGAGAAAACAAGTATAATAAAAGAGCGCCTTTAGCACTGCCTATAAATGAACCAATGAAAGATCATTCTAAAGAGAAGTAGAGCAAACAAGAAAATGTGAAAAAACAGTGTAAGAGTAAATGGAAGTAAAATAACCTCATCGATATTTAATATTTATGCAAATGTCAGATCCCTCACTTCTTGGCTAAACATTCAGCTGGGATCTCAATCAGTGTTTGGAGTGTGCATTTGGAAAAAAAAAGCAAGCAGAGCACAAAAATTAGAAAACTGTGTTTCTAAAAAGAAGAAGAGTCAAAAAATGTGACTATCGAGACCAGGACTTAGGGTTCTGTTCTGGAATTATTAATGACTTATTTATGGCTAAACTCTGTGCCTGAACTTCCAGCCCTGCATGACATCTGCTGTAAAAGAACTGAATATGATCTAAGCCCTCATGATTCATAGCTACAGACTAGAAGAAAAGGCATTGGCCAGGTGTCAGAAATTAATATTCCGACTATTAAAATCACAAGAATTCCATAGAATTGCTTAAAAGTCTAGAAAAACCACCCACACATTCACAGCCTAATACACTAAATACAAGTTCCAAGAGCAGCTTCTCTAAATATACAAAGGAAAAGATATTTGGTAAATTAAAATTTATTGCGATATATGCATTTCTCTCTTTTGACCATGTATAGCAGCAATTTGGGATATATTGTGTGCAATTTGCAAATGATCATCCATTATGACATTCAGTGCCTTAGGACTCAATGTCCTTTGGGAAACCTCTCTAATTTCTCTGACAGGGTCTACATTTTCTTATCCAGACCTCCCCCACTTCACTGATAAGGTCTATATTTTCTTATCCAGAAAGATACAGAGGATAGCCTGAGCCCTGATTATCCTATTCTAGCAGTTCCCAAGAAATATTAAGTATGATAAAAGAGCATTTCTAATGGACGTTATACAAAGTTCTCCCTGAACTTTTCTCAGTAAGTTACAGAGGAATCATCCTAATTGCTTCTCCCGCTACAACCCATCATTCATTTAGTCATATACTGAAGTCACAGTCACCCTTTGCCCTATGCTTCAAATCAGCATGACTTAATGTTAAGGTGGTGGGTAAGGATTGATTTTTCAGACGATGTGCCCTCCTACAAATACTACATTGTTAATAGTGAAATGGAAACAAATGCAGCACATGCAACCACTGAAAGGCAACAATTTCTGCTTTGAAATCTTTCTATTTTCTTCTTCAAAACTTCAAACCGAAATTCATCGTTCACCATCTTCCCATTACAGGAATGGACTCAACCATTCATCTCCAAAACGTAAATTCTACTTCAGATTATCTGGTGAACTTAGAAAACAAGATACATCAGAGACATATGTCTGACTTAGACCTCTACAATCTTACCTTCTTCTGAAGGACATTAACTTTGCGTTCCTTCACCTCTAACATGTCCTTGAGGTCATGGATCTCTCCTGCTTGAGTCCCCTTCTCCTCTGCCATCTCCTGAATCTGCTTTGTCTTCTTATTTAGCATAGTTTCCTTCTCTTCCAGGCGTAATCGTAATGCATCCACCTAGATACAGACATCCAGAGACAGAGTTTGTTTAGCACTGAAGGAGAGAAATTTTAGAAAAATTAAACTATGCTTCCACAAAAGAGTAAGTGCTGTCAAATTAAGAATAGATTCTGAAAACATCCCTTACTTTAAGACTTTTCAACAAACTTCTGATAGAACAATTACCACAAGTGCTAGGAGACTAAATAGTAAAAAATAAATAAAATCAAATGTTTTATTCCCAAATTATATGAGACTAATGCTCCTACATGGAAAATCACAAATCATACTTCTGACATAACTCTATCTTGTAAGTCTGGAATCTTTTTTCCTCAAAGTAGAAGCCAACACAACATGTTCCTGAGTTCTCTCATATGTAGGAAAACTGATCCTGTTATTTGTAAGATTACTAATGTTCAAATACTGACTCTTAGTAACAGTCACTCTATATTATAGAGTTCAATCAGAGTATTAGCTGAGCCTGGAGTAATGGAAGTAGAGGACTTTGAGGCCACTGTAGATCAAAACATGGAAAGAGGGTTACCTTAGGATGGCTAAGAATATTCTGGCTTAAATAGTCAACATAATAGTTTAAATGTAACATGCATTTTTTGATGCAGCTTTATATTAAAGATGAATTGGAACAAATGACACAGTACAGGATATTGCAGGTACAATTTGGATACATAAACATATTTAGAGTGCCCATGGTATCAAGAAATTTAGAAACACACTGAGGATTCTATGGTATCCTCAAACTTCAAAACTGCATGTTGAGAAGCTTTTCCTTTTCCTTCTGCATTTTTCTTACTCAAATGAAGCACAGAGCTCACAAGGAAGGAATCAGAGCTATCTGAATATAAATTTGATGAGAAGAATAAGGTCACCACAGAGCACAGACTAATCTCAAAGACCATTGTGGAATACGAAATCAAACAGCACCAGCCTGCTCAAGGTACCAAAAGAAACCCAGTGACCCCTATCCACATGGCATTCAGGCAGAGCTCAAATCTGCCAGCTCGGCTGCTAATCTTATTTGACAGTATCAGATTTGGTCCCTGTTAGCTGAATCCATTACAGGGCATCAGTCACCCAAAGTAAACAGGGTGATCAATGAATTTCTTGGTCCTTCTGCACAGCATAGGCTAGCAGAGACATGAAGTGAAAAGATGACTTGGACAATTTAAAGAATTTAGGTAGTCACCATGCTTCCGATATTTTGTGCAATATTTGGTTTTAATGTGTTATTCTAATTCTACTTTACTTCGATTTGCTAATGGAAAAGTTGCCTCTCAGGCTCTACATTTACAGTATGCTACGCCCAGCAAGCCCTTTGCTGTTTTGTCTGATTCCTTTTACACAGAGCAATAAGCACCTGCCAGCGGGGAAAAGAACTGCCCTGCTCTCCCCATCAGCACCGCAATCCTGCTGCCACCTCTACGTCTGGAGCCTTCTCACTTACACATACGTTATTAAAATCACATTCCTGACCTCTCACCCAGCAAGTGGGGCATGGAGTATATTCTGCAGTGATATTAGAGTACCAGGTACTACCCAAGTATGATTTATAGGATTGCTAGCGTTTGCAATGAAAAGTTTAGCAGGTGGATCAGGCTTTGTCTTCTTTTTAAAAACACATAATTGTATAGATTGATTAGGTATGTTCTTCCCTGAATATCTCTAATATTAAAATTGAGTCACTTATATTGACTCTTGAAGGGAAACTGAAAATCTCCCTCACAAGAAATCTCCACATACTCAACAGTTGTTTTCCAAAGTATTTGAGACAGTCCAGATGCCTATGGCACAGCATTAAGTGAAAAGAGAACATCTGCAAACCAAAATTTATCCACAGAATGCTTTCAATTTTCTGATTGATTATTCTCTTTGAACTCTATATTAGCTTACGGTTTGGGGTAAATTACATTCCTGGTTTTATTTGTGTGAGGTCCTTGCCTAGGAAACCACAGAAAACACTTTCAAGAGTATTTTCAAAGGCTGGCAGGACACACAATCATCACCTTAGCACTATTCCTGGCAGAACACTGCACTTGTTTATTCATGTCAGCTCAGCTTATGTATGGCATCCTCCCACAGTGACAAGAATTGAGGTCTGTGGGAGTCAGGTGATGCCAACTTCAACAAAGTCAGCTTAAGACTTTCTCTGCTCATGGAAACGACTGGGCAAACAGCTACTGCGGTGCTGACGCCCTTCTGCCTGACTTCTGTGTCTTGGACAGTGTTGTCTTAACCCTGGGTTAACCTAACTGCTTTCACAGTAATAGACTGCCATCTCTTTAATTATGCACGGCAAGCAAAATCTCACAGTGCAGCTCACGCAGCTGCGAGTCCTTCATATAGCAATGGGCTTGCTAACTTGGCCTGCATGTACCATCCAACCTCCCATGAATCTTTAGCAAAATGAGCATATTTGTTGCCATCTTCAATGCAACGGTCTTACTAGGAACAGGTACAACATGTACCTCTCTTCAGCCGGGTACCATACCTAAGACTTCAGTTTCTTCACTGTAAAAACAATATATGAAAAACTGATTTGGAGAATCTGTCATCACAAAATTTCTATGACACTGTTTCTACTATGTACAACCATACATTAAGTATACAGAATTCAATATTTATAAGAAAAACCAGTTCATTAGTAGCTCCAATGACTTCCAGAACAAACACAATAAATTACATAATATTTAATTTAAATTTATTCTTAAGCCTTCTTAAAAATCTTGGATTCTGTAATTACAGCCTTAGCTTTCAGCACATTCCCAACTTATAGCTTAAAGAAATCAGTAAAACTTTCAAAAGTCCACAGCGAGTTTCAGAACTGATTCAGGAGCCTGGGTCAATAGGACTTAGGTTGCACACATGCTGTTTCTCATTTTTACCATCACCACTGTAGAGTAGCTATCAGGGTAATATGACTGGTGATTCCCACTCGGGTTTAGGAATCTGCCTAAAAGAACCCAGTGCTCTACTCTTTTCCTGAGACTGAGCAATTCCTCCCATCTACCTGCCACCTGTTCACACCATGGCTTTACTATTGATGTAGATCAGTGAACCAAGCCTTACTTCATTTAGTTATATCAAAAGGTACAATCTTCCCTACATTATATCCAAGCTCAGATTTCTCTGTCATAGCAAAACTCAAAATTTTTGTTCTCTGCTGATATGACTACATTAGGAACAGGCAGAAAATAAATCCTGAAATATGTATTTAGAACTTGGTATGGTTTCTAGCAAGAGCCAGCAACTTTTTAAGTAGATGTTGAAGTAATTCAACATAATTTGTATGAAGTGCATGTTGTTTTTATCCTCCTGTAGATACTGCTATGTGAAATCTCCAAGTACCTGAAAAAAGTACATTTTTAAAAGATCCATTTTGTGACTTTCTAGTACTATCTTGCAAACATATCCTAGAAACACATGAAGGAATTAAGCTGTTTTCCTGATAGCATAGTCTGCAATTTGGACTTAAAAGCAATGTTTCCTGACTGATTTTGAATACTGCGGTAGTTCACAAGACCTAATTCTCATTTTTTAACGTTGATCTTTCTTATTAATTGTTCAAAGTTGACTCTTCACCTTCTTATACAAATTGCAGGGATATCCCAGTTATCTGGACAACTTAGATTACATGATTACATTGTGAAGCCGAGGCGCAGGCACACCTGGCTTTGCGCAGGACCTGCTTGGCCCTTTCTAGGGTTATAAACTCAGTGCAGGACAGACGTACGGCTTAGCAGGGGCCTGCTCAGGTCAGCAATCAATTCAGCTGTTCTTCCACAGTCTCCAGCACAAAGTATTAAATACCTACACATGGTGAATTCAGCTCTGTGAGCTGAGCTTAATGTTTGCATGTGTCTGCACAGGTCTTCATGTAGCTGATGCTATCAAGTCTTGTTAGAGACACCCAGTTCCCATTTGCACATTTCTCACTGAAGGTGATCCACTCCCTAGCTGTCTCTGATATGGGAGAGTCTACTGTAGCTTTAAAATGGTGATATAAGCTGCAATAAAGAGAGACCTTTAGAGAATTTTATGTCCTACTAAGACATTCAAAGCCAACAAAATATTTCCAGAGGACTGGATTAATTTTTCTACTGAATATTAATCTGAATTTAGCATATGGAACAGACCAATTACAGATCCATGCCAGCCTGGGCAGCATACAAAAATAAAGAGGAATGTTCACACTGATTAATTTAACGTCCCACCAAAGCCACATACCTTCTGACACTGACCTAAGCTAAAGGGCTCACTGGGCAAAACACAAACTTTATATGCATGAAGTCTTAATTCTAAAATAAATATTGATTTTTTTTTGTTTTGTTTACAAAGAGATTGTACATTTTTAGAGCTATTTTTAAAGGTTGCTTCACAAATTGAAAAGTTAACCACAATACCTTCTCCGCCCAATAGACCTCAAGATAAACACCCCACAAACAGCTCACTGTTCCTTGTAGCTCTACTGTGGCAGGCGGCAAATCCCTTTTTGAGATATTATACCAATATCTTCTCCCCAACTACCTGCAGTTATCTTTAAATAACAGAAGACTAAAAGGCAGAAGCTTATGAAGGTATTCTCTTTTATGTCAAAAGGCTTGCTTCAATAGGGCTTTAAAATACCAATCTCCTATGAAGATGTCTGCCAATGGACGACAGAAAATGCACCTCTCTTCCTCCTCACAGCTCTCTCTAGATGTCTTGAGAGAAGCTAGTTACGTTTTAACATTGACCAGTGCTGTCAACAAGTGAGTCCAGGCAGGATCTCACATTCCTACCCTATTCCCAGTGAAAATTCTTGCATAGGAAGATACTTTTTCCTTGAAAATAACCCAAATGCATCACAGGATGCAACAACAAATGCCTCAATGCCATGTTTTACCAACACATTTTAATCTTATACTTGAAAGGGTCACCTGTGAAGACAGAAGAAAGCTAACTATGTATGACGATTTAATTGTTGAGATTTCTGTCAAGAATATCAGCAAGGATGAAAAAGATGTGATTATTTTTCTAAAAGTAATCTTCCTAAAAGCAGTGTCTTCTTGGACTAACATAAAAATTCTCAGGAACATAAACGGATCATTCTATATATCTCTGCTGACGCACTGGAACATAAAATCTAACATTAAACCAGTTAGCTCCACAACAACTCCTTACTGAAAGACAGACAGAAAATCATCTTTCACTGTTACTGTAGTTGTTACATTTCACTTAGAATATCTGGAGGCAAACTCTGTGAATAACCTAAAAGCAGTAAGTAGAAAATCTCTGTCCTGTTCCCTGACTTTCAGCTACTTTTTACTAGGAAAAAAGAGTTCAGGTGTTTCAGAGTAAGAATCCAAATTGGTTTTGTTTTGTGGTGTTATATAAGAATCACATTTGGAAGAATCCAGTGAAAAACAAACGTTCTCAATGATTATGTAGCAACATTACAAGCTAGAGAGTATAATTTTCTATATTAAAAAAAATACTTTGGCTTTCAGCTAAAATAAAATCAAAATGTTCTGAATAACTATCGAAAGTATATATCAATGGTATACAACCAAGTCTTTTTGGTTTTAAATATTTTGTTTAAATCCCATACATTTTATTCGAATAAATATGTTTACCTACCATAACAGCTGAAATTATGACTAACTACTGAAGTATTTTAACTTGTTAATAAATTATATGCTTTCAAGAACTTTATCTCTCATGGGCAGACACATACTGCTTTTTATTATTTAGAAGTAAGAAAAGTATTTCTCACAACACTGCACAGTGACTTAATATATATTTTTTTCAATCACTGTAATAGAGCAAAACATGCAGTTTATAATTTGAAATGTTTATTTACCTTATACCTACTTCCAGTGTAAATATTAGTTAAAATAAACATGTACCAATCTAGGATACATTCCTGGCTAGCAAAAAAGAATGAACAAATTTAACAAGAAGTTTATGATTGTAAACCAGCACACCTTTACAGTTACACTGACTAATGCAATTTCAACTTCTTCATAAATCTGAGAATAAAGAGAAGAGCTATTTTAGAGCACCAAAAGATATCTACCACATAACTTGGTTTCGTGGACAAGATCACGTGAACCACTAGATTCACTGAACGTGAAAGCTTTCAAATGAAAGCTACATGAGGATAAAAAGTTCAAATAAATTCTCTTACACTCTTGTAATATGGAATCTTTCTACAATTGTAACCCACAATTTTTCTGCACACCTACTTCACAGCGCCTTTGGCTTTTTTACTGCTTTAGCTGCAACAACACAAATATTTTTTGATGCATGACCGCCATCTTTTGGACTTCTACTAACACTACAATTTTCCAAGCCAGGGGATTGAAAATGCTGTCTTCACACAACATCTCATGCTTGTTCTTCAAGAACGCCAAGAAGCAATAAATTTATGCTATACTTTCTACCTATTTGATGTTCAGTTATACACTTTTGTCTTACATAACATGAGAATTTATTAAGAATTTGCAATCAGAACACAGTTTAGAAAAGATTTTCCCTTTATCTTGAAATATTCATCATAAAACATGAAAGCCAATATTTCAGGTGTAAGCATAGGCTTACACACAAGCCTTCTCATACATGCTGGCAGTAGTAGTGAAGCCTCAGCGAGCTGTATACAACTGGAATGCTCTTCCTTTCTCTGCTTTCTTTTAGCTACAAGGTCATTGAAAATAAATCCCTCCTCAGCTCAGGCATTGCAACTTCCAATTTAGCTGTGCCTGGGAAAAATAATATTAATGACTGCATGTCAGTGGAGTACATCATACAAGTGTGTATTCATCCACAGGAATATGTGTGCACTTACACCTATTTTTCTTCAACGATCAATCCCCTGGCCTAGAGAATCAAATGTAATCAAAGCTGCAGCATGCTCACAACAAGCAGCACTGCATGGCTGTGGGATTGTATAACCTAAGCAAGAAGAATGAAGTAATGGTTTTAATCTCTCTGTGAAAAGTCAATAAGTACAGAATTGCCCATTTCACCTCTGTCTGCAGGATGGCAGCTCTTTGCTCTTTAGCTGTAAGAGACTCTTTAAGAACTTCAATATGCTGCTTGCTGTCAGAGAACTGATTTGTGAGGGTCTCCAGCTTTGTCTGCAAGGCCAGCAACTCAGTGTCTTTGCGTGATAGCTCCTGTTTCACCTGACCGATCTGGAAAAGAGAGAAAGACGGGCAAAGGAAGAAACAATTTATACCTTCCTTGCAAAAGTAACTATAAATTCACATAACTATCACCAAACCGTACAATGCTCTAAATGTCTCCCGTGGAATTGTGAACCCTTCACTTCTGATGCCTGGAAGGCCAGCAAAAATTTGTGTCACACGCAAAAGATACAGGGAAAAAGAGAGAGGAGCAATAGCATCAATTTTTTGAAGGCAGGCTCTTTTTAACAGTCTGGTTTTAGTCATCTTTCAAAGGACTGACCAAAACCAGTTACTTAGCAGGGATAAGTTTTTAACAAAGATGAAGGCAGAATGGTAATGAGAAAGTACCCTTACTCTGTAATATCAGATAAGATGTGGCACCTACAGGTCTCTCAGAAGGGTGATGTTTGCTTTCAAATGTCAAACCAGAGAGTTTCCAACCATCTCTCCATCTATCGATACAGCCTTATGCTTGCAGAGTTTGTAAAGGCACCTTTACTTTTCCCACTATTTACAAAACCAGCATTTCAATCTTCTAAGAAACCCCTTTTAATTTATGGAAGCTTCTCAAAGCAGATGCAAATACACATCAAAACAACATGAAAACTGTTTGTGAAATTGCACTTCATTGGGAGCAATTTCCTAGATTTAATTTTGTGAAGTAAATCAATACAGAAATGCCAATTTATTTTAACAAATGTATGTTGGGTAGCCATTTTAAAAGACAAGTACTAACAGAAACATTAAAAGTAAAGCATTGAAATGAGATAAAATCTCATTTGGAGTGCAGTCATGATCCAGGACAATTTTTATGTAAATCTCTATGAAATACTATTTTTTATTAAAGAGGATGAGGAAGTCTAAATCTAGACTTCCGACCATCTTTCTGGTTTCCCTCTGACACACCTCACAGAATAAAAGAGCAATATTTTATATTTACATATTATATAGCAGAGGTGGACATCTGTCTAAAAACTAGAGAGTTTTCCCTTTTTTATTTTGAACAATTTTGTTTGCAACATTAAAAAAAAAATCCCTCAACACTCAAAGCACCTTGCCCAGTGTTTCAAAACAGAAATTAAAGGACACTGCAAGCTAAAATAAAATGTCCAGGTCATCCTCCATTTTTGGGAATGTGTCAACTAAAAAATGAAATGTCAGCTGTACATTCTATTTACTTCTATTTTTAATTAGGATAAATGCACATCCTATTAGAAATAACTAAGAGGAAAGCTTGGGTAAATGTGGTTTTACCTTGATAACACTGTTTCAATAACGGGCAATTGAAGAAAGCAAGCTCTTTACCAAAGACTTATTAAAATATAATCAAAAGATGTTATAAGGAACTCCTGTGTTGCCATGTGAGACAGCATACATGAGGACATAAGGAAGAAGGGGAGCAGAAGCAGGAGAATGAGTGTCTCAAAAAACCTCATATGAACTAATTTTTTTAAATGGAATAATGGGAAGTGTTATAAGAATAATTCAATTTGTAGAACTATTCAATAGTTTATTTTCATTTAATTCAAACATAGTAGATTGGGGTTTTTTCACATTTTTACTAAAAGCAAATATGTCCACTGAACAATTTCACCATCTCTTTAAATTACAAAAGTACTGATGTTAGCAGCACTATTTCTGCTGTCTGCTACTGGTCATTACAACCAGTTGCACAACACTGCTAGGCAAAGCAGAATAATGGGAGGAGATCATAGAATCATAGAATGGCCTAGGCTGGAAGGGACCTTAGAGATCATCTAGTCCAACCTCCCTGTTATGGGCAGGGAACTATTTACTGCTAGTTATGTTCTCTGCAGTAGCTAAAGAAAAAAAGTTTCTTATATATTTCAGAAGGCACAAACTTTTTCAATCAGTTATTAGCCTGGATTAGAGTAAAGCTTTCTCAAACCAGTTTGGTCTTTCTTTGGAAAGATAAATTATTCTGGGGGTCATATCAGAAGAGATGTTTAACCTAAATAACTGTGTTTTGGTGAAATGCTCTCATCTAAACACAACCACATTTCATTACATTAAAATCACCAAGTAGCACCTAAGATCATTCTTTCTAGAAATCCCAGTTCAGAGCTGTAAGCCCACACTGCGAATGCATAAAAGCTCTTTAGAAAGCGCACACCATTCCAAGTTGCAATACAAGTTAAGACAGCATTAAGTGCTAACATCTCTTCTTGGTGAGACACTACAATAACTCAGCAAATGCACTAATTTCACAGCAAAGGAATAACCTAAATTCATGCCATTAAATTAAACAATCAGTTTTAAAAAGCGTTCAGCATCCAGTGTTTAGGTTTTTTTGTGTAATGCTGTTAGGAGAATTCAGCACGTGAGTTAAAATTATTTTTGTTCTACTAGGGAAAGCAAATCTCTTTGAAAGTCTGGCCCCCAAACGGGTGCTGAATACTTTTGAAAATCTGCTTCAACAGAGAAGAATAAGTGACTGCTAAAAATACTGTTAAAAATCAGTAACAAAACAAATATAGATGTTCAGTTGAAGAGTGATGTTATGGACACCAAAACCATGTGAACAAAAAAGGAGCTACAAGGCTGAGCAGGCTGTTAGTTCTACTGTTATATCAAGCCATAAAGAAGGTAAGAGTAGAAAAGCTATCCCAAAAGCCAGAGAGCTAGCAAGCCCCAGTGAATGGCCACTGCACGCAAAAGATAAATCTTACTGCAGAGACCTCGGCTTGGAGACCAGCCACTCTTTTTTTCAGGTCCTCCCCTTGAGCCTCTTTGGCACTTAGCTCTTCCTTCAGTTGTTCTACCTGTCACGACATCGTTAGGCTTTTAAATATTTATCTTTGTCAACTTCTAGTCAGCGTGTTTCAATCCAAGTAACTAACTAGAAGTGACAAAGAATTGAACAGAAGGATCAACACTGGTCACTCGTTTTCTCTTCCATTCTTCGTTAGGTCTTCTCAAAAGTTTAATATCTCTGTAATTGCATATAGGCTGCCAGACAAGAACTCGATTATGAAACAGAAATGTAAAGTTATGGTTATGTTTATATATCTCAAGCACGGGGCACTTCACCCAACCATTTTGAAACTGGAATTCATGAGGAAATGAGGACAGGAAAAGGGACATTTTTCAGCTTAAGAGAAACAAAGTTAATTGTCAAGACACAGCTGCAGGTGACTCTGTAAGGCTGGGGAAAAAAAAAAAGGCAAAAAAAAGCACTGTGCAATTACAAAACAGGGTAGGACAGCAAGATATCAAGACTGGAGCAGGCCATTAGAGGTGCTGGAACTGTCTCTCCATTCTTAATTTGAAGGGGATATTCTTCAATTCCTAGAAGCAACTCAGTGGGACAAAGAGCAAAAATAGAACAGAAGAGATGTAGTTATCTTGAAGTAAATCACTGAGCTGGTGTGAGGAAACACATACTTATTACATATTTCTGACTTTAGGGCAAACAACACTTCTCCAAGAAACTTTCTCCAGCATTCTTTCTTTTGACAAGTAATTTCAAGCAGGACAAATGCAATAAGATACAATCATAGGGGACCCAGCAGAGTATTATTCAACCTCTATTGCAGGGATTTGTACACTGCTTGCAGGTAATATGCAAAAGCCAACTAATACAAGCAGGACAAAATATACAGAAATTCACTCTACAAGGTGGCTTGAATCTTCATCAGAAAATGTTAGGACTTGCTAAAAGACTGAGAAACATTTCTTTGGGAGAAACAAAGAATTAATTGACTTTTGGCTACAGACAGTTCAGTGGTCAGTGTCTATGCTGGAGAATCAACATGTCTCACTGCTGTATTTGTCTTGTATTACAACAGCAGAAATTAATGTTGGCACCACTACTGCTGTAGAATCTATTCTCATTCCAACTTCACTACTGGAAAGAGACTGCAACAGAAAGCCATTACAGTGACAGCTCACGCTCTTTTTGGCCTTTACATAATGAAAAGACCTACTAGTTACAGTACAACAGTTGCAAAAAGAAACACTTTTTTTTTTTTCAATAGAATAGGTTTGAAACAACTCTAGACCAAATAAAACCTAAAACTATAATAGACTAGCAGTGGTCTAAAGAAAAACACAAAATCCTTCTGAAATAAAAGGAAGTTAGGTGTGACAGCAAAAGCAGAATTTGGGCCACTGACCTTACTAAATCATCATTATAATATTTTCAAATTTGAATTTTTAATTCTTCTAAGTATTTTTTAGTTATTTTAGCGGTTTCGAGGCAGAATACAAATAAAGTATGTTTCCCAGTACTTGAAAGGGAACCCAGACCATGACTCCTTACTTAAGTATGAAAATTTCTCTCATCTGCTCACTAAGCTCTGTTTATCTAATGATTGTCATTTGTTTCCTCTATACCTTATTTTTCATGAATTTGGAATGACTACGGTACACCTCCATTTGCTTCATTTCCTCTTCACGTTCCTCTGTGCTCAGAGCTCCATTAGACTTCAGCATCTGAATTTCCTCTTCCAAATCCCGGAGGCCACGCTCCATGGAAGAAATTTTTGAATCCTGAAAACATTAGAAGAGACAGATAAAAATACACACTTAGGCAATTTGGTAATGTGCCAATCAATTAAAAAAAAAAATAAATATAATTTGTTGGACATGTACCTGCCCTTGAAATTTACTCTTGAAGTTCCTACAGAACTCAGTCTACATTTTTTTACACAGCATCTGGCTGAGTGCTCAAGTACTAATTTTTCAATTTTTTATTTGTTGGTTGAGTTTTTTTTCAAGGAAAGTAAGAGCTTACATGGAAAGAAAACACGGCTAGGAGCAGGGACACTATATATGATGAAAAGAGGGACATGAAAAAAGGTGGCCTTGTAATGCCGAGCCTGCATAAAACAGAGAACTGGAATTCTATTGGAATGAACAGCAAAACGTGACCACAAGAATGGCAAAAAAAAGGGTTTGTGTTATTATTAATTTAAGTGGCATCACACATGAAGAACATAAAAAACACCATAAGCAAGGAAAAGATCCAGCAGTCTAGTTTTGAGTGGACAATCAGTGGATAAAGCAGTAGAGGATCCTTCAAGTATTCTGGTTCATATACACAACACATAAAACATTTCCATGGTTAAAAAAATATACATCTGAAAAAACCAAAAAGATCAATCTACCATTGTCCTCATCATTTTAAAGGATGATGAGAAGTTTTCGATCTACTCGGTTTAGGGTTTCTTCAGAAGTCTTATGTGTTAGGAACATGAACAGGCTTGCACAGCACACAGAGCTTCATGCATGCTCATGAGCATGGATACGTATTTAGGAATTGTAATCTCTTAAAGCAGTCTATGGTTTTATTTCATTTCTCAAAAATATTTCATCTTTCCTGAAACGCAAATGAGATTTCAAATTACTCCGCATTCTTTCACAGACTGATCCTTCATACTTTTTTTGTGTCTGATATTCAAAGCACAGTTGAAATAAACATGGAAGATTTTCACACATAAGTTTTCATTCATGAGGTTAGATTTTTCTAAGGGACCATTATGAAGATGCAGTTGGATCTCCTGCTTAATTTTTGATACTTAAGTTAACAAAAAAATTATAGCGATGTAGTAAGGTAAAGTGATATGTTGCAATTTACAACAGTATTTTTTTAGCACTCACATAATATCCCAGAAATACCACTGTTTCTCTTCTGATAGTAAAGATAGCTTATTGTTACCAGATAGTCAATTAGTTTTCATTATTATGGACCACAAAGATGACTAATAAAAGAAAGATGGTAAATTAAAAGCTCCAGAGTAGAAAGATGGGAAATGACTACAGAAAACATTGAGATGGAATGGAAGAGACCTAAGGGAAAAAAAAAGAAAGAAAATAAAAGAAAAAGGCACAGATAAAGCAGGAGGGAGAAAGGGAAGAATCAAAAAATGAGAATAGTTTGCAAAGACAGTCTCAGTCATTTAATTGTATTCGTCCAAACCCTGTCTGATATACTTTACTGACCACACAATATAAAATATGATTGCATAAAGCTGTGTAAACCACACACTCCACTTGCAGCTCTTGAGCTCTCGTCACTGTTCCATTAGATACTGGTGGTGACAGTTTAAGAACTCAATCACAAATTTATCTAGAAAAGTTAGGTTTATGTTGACATACAGACATCTTTCCAGCCAAATGAACGGTTCTTTAATCGTGTTCTGAGTTTGCAAATTGCTAACTTTGTTGATACACAGAACGCAAAGCAGTATTTAAAATGTTGATACTATGGAATGAAAATAACTTGCATCATCATAAAAATCTAAATCCGTCATTCCCATCCTTGTAATACAATGGACTCTTGGTTAACTGAAAGAAACCTGTATATGCTGCTGCAGGTAGACAGAAGCCAGGCTTCTTTCGTGTCATGAAGCAGCTCTGTCTCTTCACTGATCAATAATAAAAAATAAAATTATAATAAAATGTTATAAGACTGACAGAACAATAAGATATTTGGTGGAGTCACCTTTCACAGGAAAACCCATTTTCCAGAGAACAAACTCTATTGCTGCCTATATGCAACCATTTACCTTCATTTCAATAACAGTTTGCAGAGCCTTTGTCTTAGCTGTGTCAGGAGCATTTTCATATCGACGATGGATCTCCTGCACCAGCAGAAAAGAAACGAAGAATTAGCCTAATGGCATTTTGTCCCACTTACCAAATACAAACAAAATTATTAGAAACTTCTCTTTTAAATACATAGCATAATTCAGTGCTGCTTTCTGATGTTAACAGTTCATACATTTTATTATTTCTCATATCAAAGAAAAGAGAGGTAAAAGTTCATTCAACAGAATCACAGTCTCAGCTAAACGGCACAAAAGAAACTGTATCTTTGACTACTCACTTACTCAAAATAAATTGCTGAAATGACAGCTGAGTCTACTAAAAGCTCATCTGCCTGCTAAACTAATCTGAACTATTACTAGTTTCTCATGGAAGACATTTACTTTGTTTATTTGACTAGATACTTACTAAAAACAATAATGCTGTGGTTTTAACAAGCTATAGTGTCCACCTGTGTCCAACTGTGTTGATAACTCTCTTTTCCCAACTTTTTTACCCCAGAGTAGTTATGTTTAATTATGTGTCATGAAAATCTTTCTCCATTGGGCCTTGAACATAGCTGATGATACCTGACTGGAGAGCACTTTGCTCTAGAAGCTCAGAGTACACAGACAGGAGGACACACAAGTCCATGTGCTGTTTCTGCTGATGTGAATTCACAGCACTAGCATGCTTCAGACTGCTCACTAAGGAATAAAATGTTACAAAGCTCAAACAACTTGTTCTACCATATAAAGTAGTTAAAGGTTTCAAACCAACAAGTGGGAGTACAAGAGAAATGATACAGTATCTATTCCACTTCTTCATTATTTATCTTAAAATAGCATTGTCCTTATACCACGCACTAATGTTAAATGTAGAAATGTGAATACTGTTAGAATCTTACTACTATATGACATAAAATAGTTTGGTGCTCATAGAGTATGAACTGTGGTACCAGCTAACCTACACAACAAATTGTATATGAGCACATACACACAGTTTAGCCACCTACTCCCCTCAAACACTTAAAAGATAAATCCACAAATCTATCCACAAACATATATTTTCAATAAACATGATGAATAGAGAACTTTTTGCATGGTAGCCGTGCATGCAACTTGCTCCATAAGATTAATTATTTGAATGAGAAAGGTAAAGTTGTACAGTGCTTTTCAAAATACTGAAAACTACTTATCTTGTCAGATTGTTAAGTGTCATTACATAACAGTGAAGTAAGCAAGACAGAAACGTGCAGTGATATGACAAGCGCCACAGAAGGATTTTGCTTGAGTTTGGCATAAGGTCATTTGCATAAGTTGACACCTATGAACGGTAATGATAAGAAAATCCAGTAGAAGGTTGTTTTTAAATACTATCCTTGTGTATGTCCCCAGAAGCTATTTTTACAAGTATGCTCACAGTGTAGGGTGGTATTTTTTGAAAAAAATACCTCCTTAAAAATAAACCAGAAAACCCCTCTAAACTATTTCTTTCTCTCTTAGTCCACAGATAACTTGAGAGCTTCTGGTCATATACCACTGACACCATCTATAATAGAGTGGAGCAATACCAATACTATTCTTCTACTTACCTGAACCTGCATTCACGTAACGTATTTACTCAAATCTGAACAGCCTAGTCAGACTTCCCTTTCGGGCTGAGATGTCCTCCATCTGTCTGTAATGTATGTCTGCTATTCTCAATTCATATCTGAAGCTCAGCAGAATCAGTAATTTTCCATCACTAGCCTTCCCCACTATTGGTCTCTAGGACCCTTCTACTCTTCCACCTGCCTACAAGGTTTAGGAGCATGCTGCTTCTTGTCCACAGTTAAAAAGATATGGTTTCTACCTATTCAACGAGTTTTAAATCAAGTGAGGCCACCACTTTATCTTGAATATGTTGATAAACCTAAGGAGAGGAATGTAAGTACACCAAGATGCTCTTTCCAGGAGGTTGATCATAGAGGTCCCTAAAGATTTCAGGCATCGTCTCTGGGATCACCTGCTTAGCAGAGCCGTAAAGCTTTTTCAAAGCAGACAGCTCAACCAACTGAACCTTCTTCTACCATTTCCTGTGCGCACTCTCAGAAGAAGCAAAAAGCAGCTGTCAGCACACAGGATATCATCAGTACAAGCTGGACCAGCAGCATCACGTCACTTTCATCACCTACTCCATCCTCAGTATTTTTCTTAAGGCACATCAATGAAACTACTTTTTCTAGTTTGTCTCCACCACTTACTATTCAAGTTGCCACCTCTTCAGAGGTAATTTTCAGAGATTAGAGATGGTTATGCTGCTACACATAATGTTAGAAAAGCAGATCATCATGAGGATGAATTTGCTTTAAAAATGTCATTTCAACTCAGCATAGCACAGCCTGCCACATACTCTGCTCAGAAGAAACTCAGAGCTTACTACCCCCAAACAAGGATTAAAGACAAAATCAGAGCTACATACTGCCTTTATAAAAATAAGCTTCTAACACTCAAGATCAGCTTGAAGACAGGGAGCAGATTCAATAACCTTCATTTCTCGGTGCTCTTATCAGTAACTGCCATGAAAAACATGACCCTTTTTGAATGTCCTTGGTCATTCCATAAGGAATGCTCTCAGCTGCCTGCCTTAAAGTAGCTTTGGTATATTTTTCCTTGTCTCCATCTCAGCCAGCTCCAACATGTTGATTCAAGAATCGCACCATAATTCCAAAATACTGTGACTGTGAGTCCTTCTCATGAGCTCCAGACAGAGTGAGTTTCTGTCTTGCCACCAACACAATATTGTTACAAACATCATCTCAGTATCTTAGCATGCATGACTGTGTTGGGTCAGGCTGAGGTGGATTTAATCTTCCCACGGCAGCTCTCTCAGTGCTGTGTTTTTGGGAGTGGTAGCTAGAAGGGTGTTGACAGCACCCCAGTGTTTTGGCTACTGCTGAGCAGTGCTCACACAGTAAGTACCAAGGCTGTGGTTTTCCAATGTTCCCCCAACAGCAGGCTGGCTGTGGGCAACATCTTGGGTGGGGATACAGTTGGGCCAGCTGACCCAAACTGACCGAAGGGGTATTCCATGCCATATGATGTCAGCTCAGATATAAAAGCGAGAAGGAAGAGGGAAGCGGGAGGGCATTGACTGTTTTTGTTTGACCTCCAGAGCAACCGCTACGCGTACTGGAGCCCTGCTTCCTGGGAAAGCGGCTGGACATCGCCCGCTGATGGGAAGTAGAGAATAATCTTTGTTTTGCTTCCACATGCGGTATTTGCTAGTTGTACATTAAACTGCTTTTTATCTTAACCCATGGGCCTCTTGTTACATCTTACCTCTCCCCTGTCCATCTAAAAAAGGGGAGTGATAGAGCGGCTTTGGTGAGCTCCTGGCCTCCAGCCAGGGCCAAATCACCACAATGACTCTGCAGCTAGACTGAAACCTTCAGAAATTTTCAAAGGACGTTTTTGTATGACTCAAGTGATAGGAGTGGCATCCTCCTTAAAATCTCCAGATCTGAAATTTGCAGAGTGGACACTGAAGACTCAATTCATGCATTCATCAAACAGCGTGTTGCTAGAGAGTCATCCAGATGCTCTGCTTCTGTGGAAGAGCAGGCCTGTATCTATTTGGCTGAAGTGAACAGCACTGCTTGGAGCAATCCACTGTACAAGTAAACAAACATCTGAAGAAGAAACATGACTTTTGATTATTCCTCTGGAGAGGGTCATTTATGCCCCACATCCTCCAGTACCTTCTCAGAATTCCCAAATCTCTTCCTGCAATTCCCAGGCTGAGAGCAACCAAGAGGGTAAGACACACACCACCCTTTTTGTAAATTCATGTGTGGCACGTTATGTGAGGTGGTATTTGAGAACACTCCTTGTAGCACACTATATTGCTGTAATACCAAATTATTCGGTAATCTCTGCTCGGCTATGAAAGCACCTATCAAGAATACACATATAAATAACACAGCTCCAAGAATGTTACTTAATTCTTTTGAGAGCAAACTAGTAAAACAAGTCCACAGTTGAAGACATCCCAGTCACATTTTGGCAGCACACTCCAATCACATCTACTTAAAAAATATGGGAGGGGAATGCCTCAAATTTCAGAATTAAAAAGAAGTTGCTTTACCTAACTTCAAAACTCATGTGTGGGGAAAAGGGAATAATTCTCAAGAAGATTAATAAGCTTAAAGTGTGAAGAAAGAGCCCAGAGTGACAAGTATTCTATTGTGAAATGCATGAGGTTTCACTAAATGCAGAAAAGTGAATCTCCACCTGTTCTTGTCACAGCAGTTGTACAACCATCCAAGGACTGTTAATGTAGAATAAAACAAACCAGCTTTATAACAGAAAATAAATTAAAACAAATACCTGTGAACTTTTAGAAACTGAGAAAACAAAAGATAAGGTAAAAAATTAATATGACAGAAGTCTAATAATGTATTATTTTTGGTTTAGCAGTGCAATTACATGCTAGGTAATTTTCAGTTGTGTGGAGACATGTCTCTGACCTGAGAACACAGAAGCTACTACTACAGTGGAAAAGGAATAGGTGGAATACACAGCAGGAGAACAGCATGTCACTACAGAGATGCTGTTGTCTGCTTTTAACATTGCACAGTATTTTCCCAAATAGAAAATTCTTCTGAGCTTTTTCTTTAGAAATGCCTGTATCTCCAGTGTCTGAAGCGATGCTTTGCACAAAGGAAATGTCCTACTTCTATCATCTTCAGTAATTCCACTGTGATTTGGATGACATAACCTGCTGAAAAACAACACCTCCCACCTCTCGACTGCATAGTAAGGACTTAATTTTGGCAACATGTCTACAATGCTGAAGAGCCTGAAAATCAGGCCACAGGCAGGCCTAACCTCCCTAGAACACAGATTTAAGGTTGCCACAGGAAGGCTGTGCATAGACAGTCTTCTTAATCTTGAAATATAAGTAATGGACTTATCTTCCAGCTGCAGAATGGAGAAATATTAATAGATCGTATCTCTGATTTATTCAGATTCTGCTGCAGATACCATACATATGAA